GAGCGTTGCTTGGGAAGGGGCATAATCAGCGCATACATCCAGATGAATAGAGTGTGGGCGGTCTCACGGGCCAGAATATCAACGGGCTGAGCCCAAAGATCGTCGTCGTGCTTCACTGCCCAGAATATTTCCAACTCCTCCCGCGTATCCTCGCGGCGCTTGATTGTCGATTCTGCGATTTCTTCGAAGCCGTTCGATTCTTCGACCTCCTCATCGATTCGCTCCTTTGCCTCCGGAGAAAGAGCATGGTACGCTTCAAGGGCAGCGAAACGCGAGCGGCGCGCAGCCATGGTAGCAAGACGCGTCGATGCTTTGAGGCGGTTGGGGTCGGACAGTGGACACGAATTAGATGGGGTGGAAGAAGGGGGCAGGGAGTATAGAGTTCAAGAAAGGCAAGATGTTCAAGAAGAATAGAAAGATTGGTATCAAGAAAAGGGTATGTGGTGGTGGTATAGAGCAAGAAAGCGTGTTGTTTGGCACCTTCGGGCAAAGCCGACATCACGTTAGCAAATGTGACACCACGTCACACCTCTCTTTTTTTCGTCTCTCTCCTCTCGGTCCTGTGGTCGTCCGGCGGCTCACGGTACGTCCATCCTTGATTCTCCATACACTACTCTGTGTCTCAGCCATCCACACCCAGGCTTAGTCAACCGATATGGCCCCGCCGGCGAATAAAAGAAGAGACACGGTACATGATTCATTTCCAGGCCTCCCGCCAGTGACTGACCTGACATAACACAGGCTACGAGTGCACCCGTATTCATCAAGGGCCCTGGCAAGGTACGAACCCTTGAATCTTCACCGTCTTTTTATGAAACTGTCGCAGCCCAACTCTTCGACTGCTGTGGGGCCCACCGCAGATGACACCGACGCACCGGACGCGCCAGACGACGAGGTACGCAACTACTTGTCCTTGTGAATCTAGTTGAAGTGGGTCAAGTCCGTCTCCACCGGTACCAGGCGCAAGGCGACGACTAAACCGTCCAGCGAGACCAAGGTGACGAAACGTCCCCGGGTACGTGGTTTACAACCTTGAAACCCCATCGTCTGGCTGAAACCCCGAGAAGCGGGCTAAGGCGGATGCTAAGAACAAAGGCGGCACCGACGACGACGATTACGAGGACGAGGACGTGCAGGACAAGCCCAAGAAAGCGGACAAGCCCGAACCGGGAGACAAGCCCAAGGCCAAGGTACAAGTGTGATCTTACTACGCTGTGAGCCGTGCTTAAAAAATTGTTCCTTCAGCGCGGCCCCCGCAAAACCGCGCCCAAGGCCACGGCCGCCGCCCCTGCCGCTACAGCGTCCCTCCCAGTGAGTTTCTACGGAGCGAGTCGACTCTCTCCTAAATAACAATGGCAGGGAAACGTAGCTATCGCGGCCGACGCTTTGCAAGCCCAATGGCGTGCCGACCTCGATCTCGCCCTGGCGCATCGACAGGCGGAAGCGGATGAGGCGAAGACCGTCGCGTATGAGACGATCGCTGTCTTGTTCGCTCGCGCCATCGACTATATCGACCTCGCCACCTTCGATCTTCGGACAAGAATGGAAGCGGAGGGGACGTTGAGCCCTCAGCTCGTGGAGGGATTCAAGCTGTCAAGCCCTACTGCCTCGGCGCCGCCCCTGCCCGCGCCTTTCAAGTCCTTGTGGCTGTCCGGCAAAACCATCAAGGGCCCGATGCAGGACGGAGAAGAACCCGAGCCGTCGGCGGCGGGTCCCGGCATGCTCGAGGGCGATCCCACCCTGCTGAGTGATGACGATTAATGATTTTTTTTGTAAGCACCGTGTATTTTTCTTTCTTGTCATCATCAGACTGCATGTATTCACTAAAAGCTGTTGTATTTCTTGGGAATAGATGCTTGTTCTGCATAATCTTTGCTGTGTGCGTCTATGATTAAGTAATCCACTGCGGAATGAGGCGTAAAAATACTTGACCGCTGGTGTCAGAGCACAGTTTATTACAGACCCGACGATGCTACGTACACATGCCTCGCCAATGCGGCCACTAGGTGATCGATGGGATCACAAGCATTATCAGAGTATCAGCACCCTCGACTTCTCTAACTATGAGCATTGGTCACGGCAGATCGCATCACCAGAGATAGATCCCTCTCGCGTCTGTTCTGAATAGACAAGTACAGCGACGATTCAAAGAGACCGATCTGCATAAGTCGGATCTCCCATTCTCTCGGCGTCATTAGGGTCGAGCAAAGCTATTCGAGTTGCTGCCGTCATCGGAAGCAATCTATTGACCAAGAAGCAGTACATATGCGATATTTACAGGAATGCGCAAAAAAAAAGCGGGGTCAGCAAGACTCAAAGCAAGGTTCTGCAAGGTATTAGAGTAGACGAGGGACGTCGTTGAGCGACTGACCACGACGGGGGCACAGCCTCCCCAGCTATACGGCGGTTATCGCCCTTGTACGCAGCGCCGAGCCGCCTATAGCTGCCCGAGCGGTCGACGATCGCGTCGAGCCGTGCCGCTTCTGGCGCGCCCAGTCCGTGACCCGTCAGCCAACCGACCAGGCTCCCATCCGAAGACATTTTCTTTAGTGTCCGGGGCGGCACCAATACCGCGAGCCATTGGCGTACAAGCTTCAGAGTTCCTACATGAATCGACAGAGAATAATCGAGGCCGTCCGCGCCAAAAATCGTGGTATCCCAATCATTAGCAACGGACAAAGCGGCACTACACAGGGGAATATCAGCGGCCGATACTGCACGAATATGCGTCTGCACGCACGGGAAACAGTAGCCAATCGCGGACATGGGGCTGAGATTCTCCAGCAGATCCGTCCAATCTTCGAGCGCGGGCAGAGGATCGGCGGCGGGGTGATAAAAGAGGAGAAGGATATCACGCTGATGGGCGCCGGAGTCGAGTATATGCTGTAAGTGTTTCGCGCCGCGGAGCTTTAGAGTTGCGTCGTCGAGGCCGATGGACAGAGGTGCCAGTCCGTCTAAGTACTCGTCTGCGGCAGCGACGTTCTCGAGTGTTCGTTCCAGCCACGTTGATGGGCTCAATTTCTTTAGTTCGGGCATGGAAGGGAGACAGATCGGAATGGTGATCTTGGTTGTATAAGGGGCACAGCTTGCGGAAACGAGGGTGTCGAGATGTGTCTTGTATATCGGTAACGTGACGGTAAAGTATTTGCGACCCTTTTCAATGAGAGATGGTTTCCTTGCAGGGATCGAAGGGAGAAAGATGGAGAAGATGATGGGCGTTGGCGACGGCAGGGGATACGGGCGGCTTGCGACACGGTAAAGCTGACGATAACGGCCTTGACTTCCTGTGCGAAAATGCTGCACAGCATGATTCCATTTGTCGCCATTGCGCAGCGCGGAGTTCTCGAAGAACGGAGTAGCCAACACGAAAGCTTTTTCCAAGTCTTCGTGCGAGATGTTGGGGTGGCGGGCATTGATGTGCGGGAGTACCTCTTCTTCCGGGTAGCTGTGGACAAGGTTAGCTAAGGGATCAGAGAGGCACAAGCTGAGAGGTCGGACTTGATCATAGGGCTATATGCAAATGCACTCGCCAACATCCGTGCCGCTACGAATTCCGGGCCATTAAAGTAGCGCACGAAGTCAAAGCATTTCGCCCGGTATGTCAAGATCGGGAGGTCAGGGTTGCGGCCAAACCAGTGTAGGAAGCAGAAGAGCCAAAGTTCAGCGGTGATGAGGGAGGGAGAAAGAGGACGCATGGCGGCAGCCAGTCTGCATAGTCGTCGCGGGGATTTGAGGATTACTTCGACAATGATTTGATCCCAGGTCTAGAATGGTCAATTCGACGAATACATAGACTCGCGGAACACACCTCCCGGGGAAGCCCGTAACAAGCAGGAAGAGAAAGGGCGGACATGGACGAGCGAGGAAGAAGTGTTGTCCTTGTTTGGCACCAGCATGACCGTGACAGCTGTGACGTTACTTAAACGCCTTGCACAGAACCGCCATGTCGACGTCCGAATACTGCACTGCCGTCCTCAAGGAGATGCAGCAGCGCACGAAAGATTTTCACGACGCGTCGGAAAACGATCAGTACGCGAATCTGGCACCAAATTCTTGCTAAACACTCACGCGTCGCTCAAGTACCAATAGCTGGCTGATCTCGATGTACAAAGAGCTCGAGCCCGCCGTCGAGGAGACGATCCAAAGACGTAGGCTACTCCCTTGGCTCCATCCTACCCCCACTGATGGTCCACCTAGGTGCCATGCCCCCGACCCCAGTGAGAGCTGCACGCACCGTAACACGTACCAAGAAGGCGCGAGGGCAGGCGTAGATACAGCGTCCTGTATGTTTTATTCTTCTTGTCAGGCGGGTATTGGACTGCGTAAATTCCTTTATTATTCATCGAGATTCCCCGAGTAAGCAGATTCCCCGATTGATAAGTTGGCTCGCCGTGCTGCTCCTTTCCTCTCTGAACGCGATTCCGTGGAAAGATAATGCCCTGGAATCCTTCCTGTGGATTCAAGGACCGCATTTGCGCCCGCCCCTTTTGCATTCACACGACTGACCGACTCGGGGTAAAAGCAACCTGTGGTTCCACAGGACGGATTATCACGTGACAAGATTTTACTTTTGATCCATTATCCAATCTTTTACTCTCAATTTCAACAGACCCTTGAGATGGCCTCCGCCGGCGCGTTTGATTGCCTTATTTTACGCCGCCCATTTATCCAAATATGGGAAAGGAGCATCGGCCGTCCGGGATTTCAGGCGGCGGATTCCGTGGTGGTCAATTAGACCCCTGACTGCACTCCATATAAAGTTATTCCGTTCGCGTCATTATGCCTGGTCCACGGACCGGGAGTTGAACACCGCCAATTTCGCTCTAGGGGGACGGACTCACTGAATATTGTGCGACAGGCTACAGTAGGCAATGTAATTTAATACAAAAGACGTGCGCTAGGGACGGCGCTCATGCAAGATTTTTTTGGGGCCAAACGAAGGGAAAGGGAAGGGGAGAGATCGTTCAAACAAAGAGAAATAGAGCCGTGGGAAAAAAGTCTGAGTACTGTAGGACTCGAACCTACAACCTTTTGGTCACGTGTTTCCCACGCGCTACGTCAAGCATCGAAGCCAAACACGCTAGCCATTGCGCCAAGCACCCGCGATTGGTGAAGGGAGCGTGATTCCCATACAAGGCTAGGGGAGAAGACATACCAATCACCCAGCCCTTCAAGTCTTTTAATAAATTCTGCAACCATAGTGTGCAAGGCTGAAAGGGTTGGATGTGCCATGAGCTCATCGAAGTAAGGGTATGTCATCCGCAGTGCTGTGGGGTTAGCAGCATATTTAGTTATCTGCACAGAGACAAACAGATCCCAGCTGAGCAGAGCGATTTCGGCTGTTGAAAAGACCAACTAGTGCTTTCAAATAGTGTCAAAGATATTTTACGTAATCTGGCTTACGTCAGCATCGAAGCCAAACACGCTAGCCATTGCGCCAGGCACCCGTTAACCGTTCATGGATGATATGAACTCCACCCAATCAGGGAATTTTCTGCGGGTTTTAAATTTTCGGGGATTTTTCCAACTTCCACTCTTTTCTTTTGGGGGGGGATTAGCAGGGGACAACTGACTTGGTAGAGCCTCCTGAGACTACGTAAGGAGTAGAGGTAGGACCTCCAGAAGAAGTGATGAACACCCACCGCCCAGGGAAATGCATAACTGCACGAAGCGATTCACAACAGTGTGGGGCTCCAAGCTACTGGTTCCACCTCCGCCGATTTAGGGAAGCCGGCGGAGTGGACCTCATTTGTTTGATATCCACTTAAACATTGGGCTTCTTCCGCCAATTATCTGGCAGGGTATCCTCATCCTTTAGTGTCGACCTCCAGGTCTGAAGCACTAAGGATGGACTGAGGGAGATATTCTTACCTTACTTAGATTGGTTTGTCAAGATACGGTCGATTCTAAGGCGATCATTGATGGCGTGGAGCCATTTATTGTGAACCTTGCTGTCGGACATAGAGCCCCTGCTTTCACAATAACACATTCACAGCGAATTTTCCAGATCATGTACATGGACTCTGAGATGAGGATTCAGTGGAAGTGTGTTGCTCCCAGTGAGAATTTACCATCCTCTTCGCACTGTAAACAGTAAGGGTACTACATACCAGTGCCCGGGTAGTAATTGTGTGATTTAGGTACTAATATGTAGTGCTTTGGGAATCAGTGCTTTTCAGTGCACTTTAAATTAGTACCCCCCAGGTACTAATTCCCAAAGCACTTCATATTAGTGCGCAACCCTTTTTATCCTCTTATTTTGAGCGTACCCGTGTCCCTGAGCCTTCTGTGAGGCTGTGCTCGTGGCCATCACCGAGCATGTGGAGGCTTCGCTTTGACTGACGCGGCAATGTCGTCTACTGCGGCCCCCTTGTGCTGCCCATAACGTCCTCGCTCTCATGTAGGCTCGTAGTACCCGACCCGAGCAGTTTTTCGTCACCCCAGGAGACTTGCAGGAAGCGCAAAAAACCGCTGGTTATCATCTTGTGTCGCACTGCCCGACGCGACGTCTAAGACTCCCCGTTCCATCAAAAAAACCGCGGAACGGGTAAAATTTCGGTTCCATCGGACTCACTGAGACCCATCATTATCTAACGCTCTTTGCAGCCTCTTGTCTCGCACGGGAAAGGCAATCTATTGCTGCAAGCTGACCTGTGGGAAACGTCCGGCAAAGCGGACTCGGCGGCGCCACTTCAAAGTTTAAACGTGATCGTAAACCTCTGCCGCCGTCTTCAGAATCTGATGAGGAGCTGGATGCTGCTATGAACTCCACCCCATCCTCAACCCGCGCCGATACTCCCAATCCCACTTCCTCTCCAGCTTCATCCGACCATGATTTCGATCACTCAATGGACATTGACAACACAGGTGCCAACAACGTCTCTGATTTGGGCTCTCTCGAGGACAATGACCGTATGTATCTTGATTCACCGTCTTCGCACGACTCCCTGGAAGACGACCTCGAAGATGAGGATGAGTGGCTCGATTTCGATCAAGATTTTTATCTGGATACTCCAAGATAAGATGTAGAAGGACCTAGATATAATGTTCCCAGATGACGAAGCCAATTTATGGGAAATTCATATGTTCTCGATTAATTGCTGTGTGTGGATAATTGAGTCGTCCGATCCGCCGATAGGGAACGACATCTTGACTGATCAAGACGTGATAATATCCGTGTGTTCAAACTCGACCTCATCTTCAAATGCCGCGAGTTGCTTTCAAGTATATGCGCTTTGCATTCAGCCACAAGCTCGTCAGCTATCATTGGGCGACGATCCACCAGATCGCGATTCCATCCCGTGTTGAAACAGCGTGGTATGATTGCTGTCCGAACTCATGCATGGAATATATACACCGGAGACGATGCCGATATCTCTCATTGCCGCTTTTGCAAGGCCGCGCGACTCACCGATTCCAACAAGCCCCGCCAGCTGTTCTGCTATCTCCCCATTATCCCCCGTCTCCCAGCCTGTTTTTCGAATCCGAAGAAGAGGGAGGCGCTTCTATAAAGTCACAATTACCGGCCTCGACCCGGAGAGGTGTCAGATGTATTTGACGGCATCCATTAAGACACACTCTGAACCCAGAAAGTTGTTGTCCATGGAAAAGAACTCCCTCATGCTACTTCTCCTGTGACTACAATGTGCCTGCCTTGAATCGTACTTTCTCTTTGATCGCAGGCGCAAAAGGCCCTCGGCGACTCCCATGCTCTTCAATAATTACAGTCGGATGGCTCATAATGCATGAGCTCATAACGCATACCTGCCAAATTTCCTCATAATGCATAGGATTTCAGATCCACCAAAATGCATTTCACTACCATAGAAGCGAGCTCATACTGCATAATGCTCATAATGCATCGGATTTGGGAAAATCCCTCTCAATTTGGCAGGGAACCGACCTTATGCATTATGAGCCATCCGACTGTATAACATTTGACCTGAAGTCCGGACCCATTTTTGAAGTGCCATCCCTGGGGGCGTAATTCCCGGCAAGGGTCCGAAGGGCTAGGAAGCTATCCCCTACGAGGAGGAATGTGTCCTTCTCGCGAAGGGAGTTCCCACCTTCTATTGCGTAACACACCGCAGCTTCCAGTTGCTTGGATACAATCTCTTCGGTATGGGTGATATCATCGCCATCGAAAAGATGGCCAACACGATTTCGGTGACATATTCAGTTGAGACTGTCAACACCCGGATATTTTAGCGTTGATGAAGAAACATCAGAGGCTCAATGTTGTGGAATCTCCACCTTCTGTCGTCCCTCGACTCGTCCTTCGCCTTGAGCGGTGCCTGTTCCAGTCAAGCCCGCCAGCTCGTCGAAAGGACCATCTGGTGGCAAATTAGCTGCGGCTCGTACTTCTCAACCCTCTTCTCATATGCAAGCGTGCCCAGTACTCCCGCCACCACCAACATCGTGACCACCACCAGCTCTTCTTCACCAAAATCCCAAAAGTGTCCCATCTGATCTCGAGGGCTCAAACGAGCTGCCGATTCCCGAAGCTCTATAGGAAAGCGTTGATTGCGGTGAGATATCAATTGAATTATGGACATGTTTTGATTTGCTTCATGGGGTCCGGGAAGGGCAGATCTCAAGCGCGCAGCCGCGGTAACGAGTCGTGGGACAATCGAACTCACAGTGGGTGACTTCCTTCCGGTGTGTTTTTACCTGTTGATAGCTGTTCGCAACTGACCACACGACAGTGTGGCTAGGCAAAAGTCCAAGTCTTCCAAAAGCGAGGATGAAAATCCACAGGTGCGTGAAATCCTGACGTAATACAGTGGGCCGTCGCTCTAAATTTTCAAACCATCTAGGCGACGCCGCAGAAGAAAAAGGCCACCAAAAAAAAGAAATCAACAGGCGATGTTCAACCATCAGCTGGGTATACCACAAGAAGCTCGACGAGGTTCACTACTCCAGCCAACGCGCTGTGATATTGATCGCCTGCCACTCTTTACGTCGTCTCCGTACCTTGCAAGTCATTATTTCGATCTTCTGTACCCTAGCAATGCCTATGTGAATTTGCTTTGAATGATTGTTCTGAATTTGGGTGATCGCACGACGGTTTCCGAGAATAGTTATGGAGGCCTCGGTCGACGCCGGATTCTTATCTAAGTGAGGATGCGGTGTCTTATGCTGAATTTAGGCTAGAAGGAAAGCTCTCCGAGGCGCTGTCTACGCAGCGAGGCTGGATGCGGTGCCTGCGCAATTAAGCTGAATACACTGTCGAATTAACCGGTCAGAATACGGCGTCTGCGCGTGGGGCTTGGATGCATTGACCCAAGACGGTGTCTGTAAATTGAGGCTAGATACACTTCCCGGGGAGAGGTGCTCGAAGGGCTGTCTGCGCAGTGAGGCTGGATGCGGCGCCTAGGGACTGGGGCTGGAGACACTGTCTGAGTGAGGATGCGGTGTCGGATGCTGAATGTTAAAACCCGGACTGTCGACTGGATGAAATGCCCCGGAGAATGGTCTTGAAACGGTGTCTGCGCGCCAGGACTGGTTGAAGCACCTGGGAAAAGGCGCTGGAGACAGTTACTGAGTAACGGTGTCGCGCGCTGATGCTGAATCTGCTGAATAAAACGCCCAGGAAACTGGGGATCGTGTCTGCGGAATGAAGTGCCCGGGGGAAGGGCCTGGAGACATGGTCTGGGTGCTGGGTCCGGGGACGGTGTTTGGACATCGCTGCTGGAGAAAAGGGCTGGGGATATTGTCTGAGAGCGGCGCTGCATCCGGGTTCGTTTACTCAAGCGAATGATGGCTGATTCAGAGTATCTCTGCGGGCTAGGGCTGGTTGACGTACCTGGGAATGGCGCTGGAGGCAATTTCTGAGTAACAGTGTCTGCGCGTTGATGCTGAACTGCTGAATAAAACACCCGGGAAAAACCTGGGATCGTGTCTGCGTGTTCGGGCTGAATGAAGTGCCTGGCCCGGGGGAAGGGTCTGGAGAAATGGTCTGGGTGTTGGGTCCGGGAACAAGGCCCGGGACGTGTCTGACTATTGCTGCTGGATACAAGGGCGGGGATGTTGTCTGAGAGCGGCGCTGCATCCGTTCGTTTACTAATTGAATTCAAAAGGATAGGTACAGTCGACGGGTATA